CCTGCGCAATCTTCACCCCAGCCCCAAGACAGCCAGGTCCATTGAGAACAAGGGGCAATGTGAACTGAGTCATAAGAGCAAATGGGCCTGAGGCCAGCTCCCCTGGAGATAGGTCCAGTCAATGTCCCCCGTTTCACAGAGGAGAAGCCAAAATACTATGTGTCTTACTTCTTTATGTTGTTTCTGATTTGCCTCATGGGTGGATCCATGGATGGATGGATGGATGGATGGATAGGATGGATAGATGAATAGATGAATGGATGGATGAAATGGATAAATGGATAGATGGATGGATGGATGGATGGATGGATGGATGGATGGATGGATGGATGGATGGATGGGTATAGCCCAACCTTCAAAACTTGGAGTTGGCAGCTTCAGGGTCTGAATTGGTCCATCCTAGGGACCATCCTGAGGTTTTATCAACCACATGGGTCAGCCCTTTGGATGAATTCATCCAGAATGAGCAAACAGACAACAGAGTAAGAGAAATGGGATTACAGGGGATAGAAAGGAACAATAGGGGGCCCTGAACACACAAGCTGAGTAGCTGGCTCAGCAATTTTGAGTAAACTCTTCTGAGCCTGTTTCCCTACGTGTCACACAAGCTAAGCCCTCTTTCCTAGGCTCCCAAGATGCGATAGGCTCTCCAGGATGGGCCCCCAGGCAGACAAACCCACCATCAGGCCTTTGGGGGACCTTAGTGCCCCTGCTCTGAGGGGTTGGGGAGCTGACCCCTCCTCAGAGAGGTCCAGAAGGCCCAAGAAGACTCTGAGAACATGGGGCCAGGGAAGAATGACTAGGTCCCCGTGTACTCCCCATGAAGCCCTCCAAAAGCCCCACTCACCTTCCCTTGAAGCTGAACCCACCAGCCAGAAGGGCCAACCTTGGGGCCCTCTTGCCACCTTGGCTTTGTGACTCACAGCCAAGTCTAGCCAATCAATGCCAGCTCCTGGGAGGAGGGGCTTCTAGAAGGCAGACTCAGAGGTAAGGGGGCAGGACCTGGGTCAGAACTGAGAGTCATGGTGGTTGCTATGTGTTACCTGCCCATCCTGAGCAGAAAGTTAGGGCTATGAACACAGAAGTGACCCACCTCCACCTCCATGTGTCTGGAAGCAGCCCCAGTCTCTCATCCCTTGGGCATTTGCTGAGCACCTACTTTGGGCTGGGATCTGATCTGAGTCCTGGGGACACAACCCAAATAATTTGGGGCTGTGAAACTCAGGAAGGGACCAAAGAGGGGGTGGGATGGGCTGACCCACAGGGGAGGAGTTGGCCATGGGCAAGCTGGGGGAAGAGCGTCTCAGTTAGAGGGCACAGTATAGGCAAAGGCCCTGAGGTAAGAACAAGATGGGCATGATGAGGGAAGAGAGGAAGTTGACATGTATGTAAGGGAAAGGGAAGAGGGTGGGGAGGGGTCATAGTTGGAGCCTTGGAGAGGAGTAGGGGAGTTTGGGTTTGATTGAGAAGGAACCCAGAAGCCTGGAAAGAGTTTAAACAAAGGAAACTCTTACTTCTTAAAAGGCCAGCTGGTATCTGTGTCTGGCTCTGAGGACAAAGGCTCCTTAGGGTGGGGCTGGGCCCAAGGCCCCTTGGAATGAATCTACATACAGGCTGGTGGAAATGGGTATTGACTCTTAGCCACAGTCCTGGAGAGGGAACCGAGGCTGCCATTCCAGTCACCTCCTGGGGCTAGGTCGAGGCCTGGTGTGAATCACTGCTGGCAGGTCTTGGGCTGACATACACCTTGGCCTCAGCTCAGCAGGGTCCTGCCAAAGCCACAACAGCCAGGCCCAGGGGCCTCTGCTGGGCCTCACTGGGAGCTGCTGGGAGTCACCAGAGCAAGAGGTCAGCTGCGGGTTGGTCTCCATAAAGATCTAGGTTTGATTAGTGGGTTGGAACTTTCAGCCCCACCTTTCAAACCTCCTTGGAGGGGAGAGGGGCTGGAGGTTGAATTACTTTATACCAAAGGCCAAAGATGGCAGCCCAGAGGGGACATGGAAACTTAGTGCCCTGTGCATCTCTTTAATCTGGCTGTTCCTGAGTTGTGTCCTTTATAGCCAGTGATCTAGAAAATAAAATGCTTTCCTGGGCTCTGTGAGCTGTCCTAGTAAATTATCAAACCTGAGGAGGGGGTCATGAAAACCCCCAATTTATAGCTGGTTGGTCAGAAGTACAGGTGGCAACCTGGGACTTGTGCTGGTGTCTATACTGGGGGTAGTTTTGCGGGACTGAGCCTTTCATCTGTGGGGTCTATGCTAGTTCCAGGTAAACTGTCAGAACTAAACTGTAGGAAACCTAGTTGGTGTTTGGAGAGTTGGAGAGAATTGGTTAGTGTAGGGAACATCCCCCCCCAAACAACTGTCATCAGAAATGTGAGTAAACAGTTTGGGCAGATCTTGCAACCTCCCTGGATCTCCTTCTCTATAGATTGGGGACTGCACAGGGTGCACTTGAGTATTAACTGTCATTGTTCATCCTCCAAACTATTCCAAATTCTGCCCTGGGAGATGTTACTTGGACGTGAACACACAGCATCTCAGGTAAAGGACAAATTAGGGAGATTCGGCCAAGGTCACAGGATGGCAAATTGGCATCCAAGTTGGTACTCAGTCTCCTGAACAGTGAAGCTCTACCCTCAAAACATGGCTCTTGGTCTCCTGTTTGACACCATCTCAGCATCAGCTCTCTTCTCACTTCTGGCGCCCCTCCTGAAATGTCTTCCAGAAGGCGGTGCCAGGTGAAGTCACATGGTTAAAAAACAAACCCCCAAACAGCTCTTGAAACCTCAAGAAGTGGGCAGACAGAGTGACCAGGGGCTAGAGGGAATGTGTAGATGGTGAGGAACCACTCTGATGGCCAAGGGACTGTGGACACATGGCATTCCTTCTTTGTACCTGTAAATCAGGCATGATTCACTTTCTGAGTAGGGCTGGGTATGGTCAGCATTCAACACACACCTACCAGCCCAGCTTGCCCTGTGTCTTGGGCCACCAATGCTCACATTCCCCTGGGGCCCCAAGTAAGGCAGAAGCCCAAGGCCCAGGGTCTTTGGCCCACACAATAGCAAAGCCTAGATGAGATCAGGGAAGAGGACAGCCTGGCAGTCAGGGCTCTGGAGGCGAGAAAGCCAGGTCCCAATGTCCCTGTAGTCTCCTTAAAAGGCTGTGTGGCCCTGGCCCATGCGGCTCAGTTGTTAGAGCATCAGCCTACACACTAAACGGTCTTGGGTTTGATTCCCAGAACATCCCTGGGTTCGATCCCAAGCGCAGGTCAGGGAGCATAGGAGAGGCAACCATTTGATGTATCTCCCTCTCTCTCTCCACTCTCCCTCTATTTAAAAAAAATTAAAAAACAAAACAATGGAAAAAATATTCTCAGGTGAAAATTAAGAAACGAAACAAAACAAGCCTATGTGACCTCAAGCCAGTCACTCAACCTCTCTAAACCTGTTTCCTCAAAATGGGAGAATAGGATATTGGGGGGAGGGTGCTTTCAGAGAATATTTAGAAAATCTTGGACTCCCAGTCAGTGCCCTAAAAGGGAGGTCCCACAGAAAGTACCCACACCTCCAGTCCTAGAGTAAGACCACCTGCTCAGATCCCACCTGTGCCACTTTCCTTCTGGTCCCAAGATTCAGTTTCCCCATCCCCTAACCAATAATAAACACATTAAACACTGACTGTGAACCAAACACTGCTCTGTAAACAAACTTAATTTTCACAACTTTATAGAGGTTTAGATTGTTCTGCTCGTTTCAGAGACAAGGAAACATTAGCCCAGAAGGTCAAAGTTTCTGCCTTTTCCTTCCTGCCTCGGCTGGGGCTGTCCCCTTTCCATCCTGCAGTCACTCCTCCCCAAAGGGGACAATCTGCAAGCTTGCTAGTTCCAATCGCTTTAGTCTCCAGCGTCCGCGGCCCAACCCAGACATCAGTGGGCCTGGCGCCCAGGCGCGCCTAGATGGCGCTCGCAGCGCGCCAGAGGTGCGGGCCCCACCCCGGGGCCAGCTCCCCCTCCCATGAGCAGGGGAGGAGAGACGAGGGAAGTAGGCGTGGGGGGAGGGGAGCGGGATAGGCCTAGCCCAGCCCCTTAGGTCCCGGCAGGGGAAGGAGGAGGCGGAGAGCAGAGCTGGCATAAGGAGACTTTACTGAAAACAGAAAACCGGGCGAACCAAGTATTACAAACAGGAATGTAGACTTGTAGCAAAACAAAACCGAAAAGGGGGGGGGACCCACAACAGAAAGGGCGGGGAGGAAAGATGGGTGTCTGTCGGAAGAACGGAGAGGGCGGGGGCAGAAAGCAAAGAAAGGGAGGAGTTTTCTTTACTGTTTCTTTA